TATATATATATATATATACACATACATACATACATACATACATACACACACACACACACACACACACACACACACACTGTATATATGTATATGCACAGCTATAAATATTTTAGATTGTTATAGAATAAAACTGATAAAAATGTATCTATGCAAGAATGTAGAACTAAAAGGTGCCAATGCTTCACTAAAAAGGTGAATTGAATTAAATTTTTATACCTTACTATCCATTTCATCATGATTTCTACAAATTTTTTTTAATTTGTTATATCCTGTGATTTTGTCATCACTCTTTATATTTAACATAACATACATATTGTTAGTGTAAGACTTTTTCTGTAACCTTTCCAATATTCTAGATAATGTGTTACCTGGCCTCCATTTTCCACAGAAAAAATGCGATCGGTTCCTCCACAAAGCTTTATGTACCACAGGAACCACAGAACAGAAACATGCTGCGTTTCGGAGGTGACATTCACATTCACAAACAGCTGAGCAAACCTTTTAGCTGCTCTGAAAAATAACGAGCATATATTTCACATTCGTATTAAATAATATCGGGTGCTATTGTATTACAGTGCAATAAGATCACACAGTAGTTATATTTTTTAAGTTAACAGTAGCCATATAAAGCACAGTGCCACTATTTATAAATTATTCTAAGTGATTGTGACAGGGTGGATACACCATTTAACTTGTGATTTAATCTGACAATTAGCAGTTGATTTACTAATGGAGTAGAGAATGTAAACTTGGCAAATTAAATGTTCTATTTAGCCCCATCTCACTATTTATTCTGTGTCTGTGCACCTCAGCCTGTCCTGGATCATGTATCAAATTGATCCTGTGTCATCAGTACCCATCCTGACCTGTATCCCCTCTGCTACACTGTTTTCCTGCCTGACCCACCTGACCCACCTCTGCCCTTTCCTTTTACCATTCCCCTTGCAGCTGTGGCTTTTATATAGTTACTGCATTTAGTAAGATTCACCTTTCTGTGAATTATATATTTGTGTTGGTCTTTTTACAATAAAATGTATTGTCTTTCATATGAACAGTAGCATGGTATATCTTTATGAAATCAACATATTAGGCCACACCAGACAAAAGGTTAACTAACTAGACTCTACACATCCCTTCTTTACCAAGCCATTTTTCAATTTTTAGTGCTGTAATAATTTGAATGACAATAACTCAGTTGTGCAGCACTGTACCAAAGTGAATTATATAATTTATATAACTGGTCTGAGGCAGATAGAGCTTTCTTTTGGTGGAAACATATATATAGGAAACATATCATATAAAAATGCCAAAACCCCCTTTTTTGGCGAAGTAGACACCTTAAGGGGATCTCATTATTTGCCACACTTAGCTGGTATGGAGGCTTGGTAATGTTGCACTAGATACAGCACATCATAATATACAGGTTATACACACAGGGAGGAGATGGTGTATGGCAGGGGCGCCCACAATTTTTCGTCTGGAGATCTACCTTTTCAAATGACGAGCTCAATGAGATCTACCAACGAAAAAACACCTGCGTTCAGGGGCGGGAGGGGGCATAGTGGTGCATTGAAGTCAATGGCACTGCAGCCAGGCCCCTCGCCCACAGTGCGATCGCCTGCACCCGGAACCCAGGCACATTAGTGCCTGCGTTCCGGTCCAGTGCGATCCACAAAAATGCTGCAAGCACTATTTTTGCAGATCACACTGGACCGCAATGCAGGCACTAATGTTCCTGCGTTCCGGGTGATCGAACTGTGGGCGGGGGACATGGCTGCGGTGTAACCCCACTCCCGCATGCAGGGAGTCGGCCGGCTTGCATTCCAGTGCGTTCTAGAGGCGCCGGCGCCCTATCCTCCCGCGGTTCTCGTGTGGCCGACGTTGCATATGGGGAGAGGTGTACCGCCCCTTTTCGTCTGTGGCGTCTGACACATTCAGCCAGCACACGCATAAGCAACGCTGGGCCATAGCCAGCTCATTTTGCGCACGTGGCAAGAAAAACAACAGGCGTGTGACATCACCCAGCGCCCTGCCTCCAGGATTTTTTTTATTTTATTTTTTACTATTTTTTATTTTTATTATTTATTTAATTTTTTATATATATATTTTTTT